ACACAAATCATGACTACTGATTAGTAAAGCAATTATCATATTAAAAGAGTTCAACAGGGCTCAACATACTGTAAAATTAGAAATCAGTCAATACCACAGCCATTGTATAGAATAGCATTGATTGAATGTACTAAATGTGAGCCTTGATGACAATTGATCACAATGAACTCTGCTCACAGAGGAGTCTGGTACGCTAATTGAGGAGCCATCCTTAAATAGAACAATAAATAGAAGAGGAGGGGAGAGGAGAAATGGCTACAGAGCTAAGGTGCTGCCTGTCTGTGCAATGAAACAATAAAAAGCAAAGAACCAGGAAGGCCTCTGTATGCTGGATGTCCTCTAACTTCCAAGCCCCCTTTTCAAACACCAAATGAACCTGTCAACTCTCACAGGTCATCTCCACAATATGTGCCACAGCTGGGAAACCTGCTCAAAAGTGTCTGAACAACACCTCAGAAGGAGCATTTCCAGAAGCAAATCCCACAAAGAGGCCATAAACCCCAGAAATCTCATCTGTGACCAACCTCCATTGGTCTGTCTGAAATCAGGCCTCAGACTGCATGTGTAACCAAAATTTGTTCTTTAGAGTGAGCAGCTGCCTAGGCTGCTTTTACTGGGTTTGTTCACGGCAAGCTGAGCATGGAAGTGTTTGAAACACTGTGTTATTAAATTTGGCACTAACAGTTTGTAGTTCTCACTACAGCACAAGGAAATGTATGCCGGTAGAAAACAAGTTCTGAACATCTTCATTATCCTGAAAACTTATTCTGAAAGTGTCCCCAGCCCCAGATCAAGATCAAACAGTATCAAGGTACTGAAGAAACTCATCCCAGGAAAAGCAAATGTTGTACTGCCTCCAGGAACATCCCAGATTTGTTAACTCTACAGAGTGTTAAAATGCAAAAAAAAAAAAAAACCTCCAAAAAATCTCAGGGGCTAGACCCCTACCTGATTTTGAATGAACTAAAGGACAGAAGCAGTTCTGATTTTGGTTTGTGACATGGAAGAGATGGCCTGGAGAAACCCCACACAGCAAAGGCTGCTGACACTTCAAGCAAGCACAAGTTTTGCGGGTAGTAAACACTATCAATGTTTGAAAATGCAGTGTTCGGAGTGTGCAACGTTATTTCTACGTTTTCGTGGTTTCCTGGAAATGGGAGAGCAGGCTGTGCGAGGCAGTGTGCTGCCAGTGACTGGGCGCCACCAGAGGGCCCCCGATGCATATCTCTGCTAACGCTCAGCCACGCACCTTGCACAGCCAGCCGACGGGAAAAGTCAGAGATGAGCATTTAAACAATGTTCCCAAATGTAAGACAGCGGTAGAAAAAGACATTTGGAGCCAAGGGAATAAAGGATTTGAGCTACATCAATCAGTTTTGCAGGTATGGTACAGGGAAAGATCATTATAATAATGAGCACACTGCCCAAGTTTCAGCAAAGGAGAACTTTGTAAAATAGATCTGGTTTTCTATCCACACAGCTGTTAAAGCAGTGCTATCTTCAAGAATTAGAAGCAGCAGCTATTTTTGTTCTCTACCCCACCCACATAGCAGGAGGGAGTTATTTTATTCACTCATTCCAACCTGCATTTATTTTCAACTCATGGCTCATTTCCTTAGGCAGCTCAAGTTTGGGATGAATGCACCCTGGACCACTGTGGTTTGTTTCAGTTTCCTGATGTATTAGTGCCACAGCAAAAGTTAGCATCTCTCACATGCTTCATACAGAGGTACCAGCTAGCAACACCAAATTAAAAAGTAAGGCTACCTAGAATGTAGGTCTTCCCTGCATTTGTTAGCTGTACCATATTTAACTTGGGGATTAGGTCCTCCAGTCAATTAAAAGAACAAGGCTCCTTGGTTAAGGTGAAATATATTAAATGGTCAACAGTAGAGGAAATTTGTGCTCTGCAGGAAATCAGTGTTCACAGGCTTGTCCAAGATGATGATACATCTCGTCTATGTTGTTTGCACAGCTATCAGATAATAAATACATTAAAAAATATAACAAGCAAAAACATTACTTACACTGACAGGGTTTGTCCTAGGTTGATTATATGATGCTTTTTTCCCCAATCATCTTGTTCTGTTTATGCTGAGTAATAAATTTTGCACCTTTAAGACTTGTTCCAGAGAGTGAAGGGGGCAGAGAAGAAGCAGCAATTTGTTTTCAGACACTGCACTCACTCCTCCACATTCCTGCTCCTGGACTGTGTCGCCTGCAGATGGACAGACGGTGGGACGGAGGTCTCCTTTGCTTTTAGTTAGTTTAGCTAGCTGAGGCAAAGAAGTTCCCTGGACTGTGGGGTTTTTTTCCTTTTTCTTTGGACCTGTTCAAACCTGCTCTGGACTGAACACCAGCAGAGCACTGGCAGCGGCACCTGAGGCCCACCAGGCCAGGCCTGGGCCACGACATTTCCAGTGCCGGAGGGAGTGATCAGAGACTGAGTGAGCTGAGCTGCAACCCAGGGAGGGGACTCTCTCAGTTGGTCATCTCATTTGGAGCAGCAAGGGGTTTTATGATTAATAAACAGGTTTTTTCCACTTTTCCCCAAGGAGGTATTTTCTCCCAGACTGGTTGGGGGGAGGGACCGATTGAATCTGCTTTCCTAGAGGAGCCCCTTTGGGGGTTCTCTCCAAAATTTGCCCTGAACCAGGACAGGGGTTTTTTGGTTTTTTGGGGTTTTTTTCTTTGATTGGTTTTGTTTTGGGCATTAATTGCCTGGTCCACCCAAATACTCCACTTGCTTCCATTTCAGCCTATCATTTCTCACAAATGAGCACAAGACCATGCTGCATTTCATCCTGCAAAGGTACATGGTCAAAAAGAGGAGCTCTAATGATATAGTATTTCCTCTAGCCAGGTTTTATGAGCTCTCAGAGAAACATCACACTCGAGATAGCCCAGCTACCTCAGATGGCAGAAAAGCAGCAGAATGGCTTCTGTGGTAGTGTTGGAAACAGAAAAGTTTTAATAAAAGGCAAAATAACAAAGCTCTTTACAGAGAAAAACCGAGCCAAGTCCAAGAGGCTCTTACTCCTGGTATAAACACCCCACAAAAGCAATGACTTCCTTTGCTCTCTTCTTTTTCTAGTGAATTGCTTAAGTAGGACCTTTTGGCTTCTGTCCAGTTGGGTATCCTTAGGTTTGAGGTGAAGTCCTCAAGGTTCTATGAGGTGTCTTTTACAAAATGGAGGAGAGAAACTTCTGGGCTTTTTTCCTGTTTAAGGAGACAAAGGATCATTTGTTCACTCTGTCAACAGGGGCACATTCCTACACTCTAATAGTTTAGAAACCTGGTTCCTGCAAGACCAGTGAAAGATAAGAGGAGGAGTAACACAAGTGCAAGATCCTTGATTGTGAAAAATAAGCTGTTTGTCAGCTTCCCACTCATGTTGTTGTCATAAGAACATGTTCTTTTCTACTATCACCATGCCCTCCTAGTAGAGGAGGAAAACATACTTATCTGTGGAGACCTTCTGGATAATAATCAATTCCTCCATAACCTTGGCAGTCTAAGGGCAATATACAATTTCAGGTAAAAGCAATTGCCAAGGCCTCTGCTGATATATTCTGTATTTCATTTGCATTTCAAGAGAAAAGAAAGGAGGAGATGGAATGTAAGTAGAGAAAATAACACCAGAAAATAAAAATCAGAAACACTTAATTAAAGCAGGGCAAGACAAAGTAGTCTCTATTTCAAGTCAGACTGGCATTTTTACCAGCGGGTGACAAAGTACACTCCACTTGTAACTGGCAAGTTCTTGGGTTCATCACTTGGTTTTATTTCCCCATTCTATATGCAAGTACCCACTTCACAGAGGTTTCCGCTTGCTTTGTTAAGACAGCCAAAAAATGACTGAGAAAATACTGACAATCCCACAATCCTCTCACAAATGATACATAATACTCATACATTCAGAGGTCTGAGCTTTACTTTTACACAGCTTGGACTCATAACCATAATGAGGATCACACATTCTAAGACTCCTCTTGATGAGCTGGAGAAGTGTTGCAGGACAGGAAAAAAAGGCATATCAATCTCCTAATTTCTTATAGAAGCAGAAAATTTCTCTTCCAGCAGTTGTTCTTTATCTCCCCATATTTTCCTGTGTCTGGCACCTCTTTTTGCCTATTCAGTCTCCCATTTTACCTCTGAGAATAAAGAAAGTACAGAGTAGCGCAGGAAGAACACTCTCAACACTTCTCTTACTGCAGTCTCTGTTAGCAACTCTCAGAAATAAGTCACATAGAAAGACAATCTCCCAGTTTTAAACACTGAAAACATTTGAGAGTTATCAGGATTTCCAATCACATTTCTTCACATTTTTATACCTAGAAAATAAATCAACAGCTTAAACAGCCACAGAAGCACATCTTACTATAGTTGGGAGTAAGTAGACCTGTTCCAAATCAGGAGAGCCTGAAGCAATTTTCCTTACTGCCTGGTGGCTTTCCTTTTAGCCTGTGTGGCTAAAAGCTGTGCAAAAAGGCAGATTCTCCTACTGCTTACCCATGACACCAGCACTTAGACTGACTGATCCACCAAAGGAATTCACACAATGCCAGGCCTGGCCAGAGAAGAGGAGAGCTCAGTTCTGTGCTACTGTTAGCTCCTCCATGGGATATTGTTTTTCTAGACTCTCTAGGGCTAGGTAGAGTTGCATCTGTGCATCTGTCCCTCTGTAGGATGTATTTGTGCTCACCAAGACTGATCCTCTGTCTTTTCTGAGACTTCAGCCAATGGGCTGCTGTCATGTAAACATTATTAACTGTTCTTACCAAGGTCTGTCTTTAGAGCACCTTGGCCAAAACAGCAGCTATTTGTGTGTTTCATTAGGGACATTCAGATGGTCAAAGAAGACTGATCTTTTGATATGAGAGCTACTTAGCATGAGAGCAAATATTTTATACCAATAAATGCTATAGGAGACAGAAATATTCCCACTCCTTAAGTGCACTTGCTCTGTTCCTGGAGGGTGGGCTTGGGCTTGTCAGAGGCCAAATCCCCAGCCTTCACACCCAGTGGTAACACAAGCAGGTAGCTATCTAGAAATAACAGCGGCAGAGGACAGTGGATTTCACATCATAGGCTTTCTTTAATTTGTGTAATGCACACAAACAGACTCAAAAAGGGATCTAACAAAACCACAAGATATGATTTTAAAACACAGGATATTTTCTATTACACTGTCCTTGGCTGTGATTAATTTACCTCAGCTTCACACACCCAGACATCAGGGACATGATGCCCTGGACACTGTTCTGCTCTTTGTCATAGCAGAAAATATTCTACAATGCCATCCCTGGTTTTGTGACATGGAGGAGAAAGTCAGCATCTGCTTTTTCCCTCTGACATAAAACACTTCTTCTCCAACATGCAATTCAGAAAACATATTTTGGTGAAATGCTTCATGTCTTTTGACATCAGGAGATCTATCTCTAGAGCAACATGGTTACTGTGGCTCACAGGAGCATTGCTAGGCTAAGTCGCTGAGAGAGTCTAGCAGTACAGGGGTGATTTATTATAAGTAACCATTTAAGTCCTCAAGGTATTGCAAATATTTTAAAGTCATACTTTCATGAACACAATTAATTTTACTGTAGATTCTTCTCAGCATCAGGGAGAACTTTATTAGCATATTTTATGTTTTCCTATTTATAAAATTATAGTACTTTGCTTTAAATAAGGATATTTCTTCATTGTCTCCCTGCTGTGTCACATGCAAAATATCTTATGGGAACAGAAGGAAAACATGTTGGGCTTAATAAAAAGCCCGTCTATTTTCTGGTAGAAATAAGTCATGGAAAAATGAGATAAAATAAATAGCATTTAACAAACATTTCCGTTTCCCACAGATCCATTTTCTATTACTATCCGGCAATATTTTTTCTGTTGCTCTTCCTTGAAAGATTCTTTGACCTTTTTCCTTTTCAGTCCTCCATCCCTGAAAGATACAGAAAAGAAACAGCCTTAAACTCACTTCAGGGTCAAGGCAGAAAAACATTACTATATTTAGACTATGTAGTCAAAGCAGTTTCCACTCTTAATGTTGACATCTGTAAGACAATGCTAAGTGATTTATACTGCCAAGATTTACAACACCACAATGCCCTTCTTTTAACCCAGCATTTAACAGGCAAGTAATTAATTTTCACCTAATACTGCCTGCTGTCTAGATCCACCTGTCAGCTCTGTTTCTCTCTATCTACCATATTATTCTAATTATTCTAATGTAATTGTTCAAGTAATAAATAACATTTTCTGAATCAGAGTCAGTAAGGGTGGTGGACTACAGTGTAAACAAAGCAGGTTTTAAAGGATTCCATGCTAATATTTCAGAATACAGAGCGCCTTTAAAAACAATTCCAGAGGTGTTGCTTCTTACCAAGGAAGCACAGACATTCCTGCCCGAGCAGCAATGACAGCCTTGACTCTGTCAGCAAAGTGAACAGCATCTTCTTCTTCCTGAAATAAAAAAAAGCATTAATTGCTTTACAACAAACATTTTCTCTGGGCCTCACTTAAAAAGAGAGGTTTTGTCAGACAGCAGGCAGTAGGATTTATGCCTGACCCATGAGCCAAATGTAAGCAGTTCCAGCTGATCCTGGTTTGCCACTCTTTGGTGCCAAAAAGAACTACATGGGAGGCTCTCTGGTTTCTGGGACAGCCTCAAACAACACACAGCCTGAAGTCCCATGTCTGGCCAGAGCAAGGGATGCATCCTAGATAAATCCAAGACTTGGATTGTAGTGTTGCTTCCTAGCCTCTGTCCATTAAGTTATCAATAAGGATTCAGAGCACCTTGTGTAGTAATGCACACCTCCTTCCAGACAGCATTTCACAAGCACTTTCAAAACATACAAAAGTGTAAGAACCTCTTTGACCATCGGTGGCAGGTACCACACATTGCAGACAATAGCCCAGCTGGTTAACACATTAAAACCATAGGTCATAATGGAATGCTTTGTGCTGTTCCAGAAGGCATCTCCAAAGCGGGGGTCATACTGGAAGACAAGAAGAATAAGCTGCCTTGGTTTAAATCACATAAAAGATGCTCTTACTACAAAGGCCATCTTTTTTTTTTTTTTTTTTGGCCACAAAGTTACAATTCAACTTATTAAATAACAGGCAAATCTAATCACACCTCCTGAAAGCATCAGTAAATTCAGAGTAAAGTTCCAACATTCATGACAAGTTTCTAACTGTTAGCATTTACAAGCAATGCATGATGTAAAACTGTAACAGCAATGCATCATGTCAAACTGTAACTGCAACACAACTGTAGCAAAAGATTTATTCAAAATGTAAAATCTTGTCATCTGCATATATGCTGACTACAAAGGTTTCCTTGACAATGCTCACACCAGTTTTAAGAACTTCCATAAGATCAGGTAACATTATAGTGCCAGAAAAGTAACTAATATTTCCAGATCTAGAGTGACCTGGCTAAAGCTACTCAGAAAGACTTGAAAGTGCCAAGAAAACTGCCCTTATCCTCAGAGCACATAAGAGCCAGGACAGAAATTACACGTTTCCCATATTGCTCAAAACCACAAGTTTCTGTCTCTCAGGGCTTATTCAGTACTTTATGCACACCAAACATATCCCTTTTCAAGGTTTACACATGAACAGCTTCCCTGATGTGAGAAGCATTTGCAACCAATCCTTCCATGTTCAGAAAAGTGCAGTTACAGTACCTTGATTGCTACTGGATGGATGGTCCCTCCTACCTCAAAGCTTCCCTTCTTAAACATCATTACAGATGTGTTGTTAATGCAGGTGCCTGGTCAGAATTAAAATAGATGAAGGGCTTAATCCACTCTGAGAAAAGTATCAGGAAATTAATCCTAAACTGTCTTAAGGAGACTTAGTTCTTAAAGAAGAAAGTAAGCTTTAGTTCTGGAACATAATCCCAGAGCCCTGTATGTCTTCATTCTCTTATATGCTAAAGCAAATAAACTGTCATAAAACTGTTGTAAAATACTAGAACCTGACCTTTAATATCTCGTAAGAACTAATTAATTCTACAGACTAAAAACAACCACAGTTCTAAAGGCTGGATATCATAAACTGCACTCAATGGCAAGAAGTGAGATGAGCAAAAAAATCAATACAGTTGATTCTTACCTTCTGGGAAAATTAAAATGGGTAACTTGGCCTTATCTGCAATGTGTTCTCTAAGTCTGTGGGGAGAAAACAAAATTTCAATGTATACTTCATATTTGTTTTGTTCAAGAGTCTAAACATTCATTACCTCTCACATAGGACAAGAAAAGCCCTTGCCCAATTGCCTTTCACCCAGTCAGTTGCCTCATCTGGAATATGTTCTGGTTTCAGGCCTGTATCTCAGTATCTCTTGAATTAAAAAAGTAGATTTTCTACAAAGCTCTATGAAGTTCCATTTTAACCAGAGAATGGTGGTTCTTGAAGCATGTGAAAATAACTTCCCAGATTCCAGCTATGAATGCAGTCAAACTTTTTTTTAGACTGAAAGATATTCCAAATTTCTAGTTTTCATGCTTTCTAGGTTCCCAACATCAGTTTTACATGTATTTAAGGATTCCCCACATTTATTTGACAGATCACTATCTTACTACATTTGCTGCATCACTTAAAACCACAAATATCACCACTAAGCAGATTACTGACACTAAGATCAGTCATTTTCCAAGACAACTGTCTTTCGTACAACTCAAAAGCATGGAGCTCCTCTTTGGCCTGCATTGAAGGACAAAATCAAACCACCATACATTAAAAAAAAACAACCAAAAAACCAAAACCAAAACAAAACCAAACCAAACCAACAACAACAACAAAAAAAGACGATGACAAAAAATGTCAACACTGATGACATATTACCACACCTGACCAGACAATGAAGCAAACACCTCACTACCTTACTTTTTCCTCACCAGGTGACGGTCTTTCATTTCCGAGCGTTCAAACAAGACATGCTGAGAGGTTCTCATGCAGGATTTTTGAATAAGTCCCATAAGCCCTCCATGTACCTGGCCAACCTGCAAGTCCAAAAGAAACTTGTTACAAAGCAAACACACACACACACTTAAATTATTAAATTCTAAACACAAATGCAACCATTTCTAAGCTTATTGAAAAATTATACCAATCCCCTTGGTCATGCATGTGCGCACACCTGCTTGCATCTAGTTTTTTGCAGTTCAGACTGTGAGTTTGAATGCCGTCAAATCCCAAATATTCTATGAGGAAGTTCACCCTCTTACCCAATGCTACATCTATGGACATCTCAACATTACTGATATTTACCAACTGTCTTGCTCATACCAAGGAATAGCATCCATCACTGGCCAGGATTAGGACATCCAATGGAGATGTGTGGTTGGCTACACAGATGCCTCCTTTCTGTGGTTTGTTTTCCCTGCAATGACAACCATAAAAGCAATTAATGTTTATTTTCCAGTCTACAATTCCAATCAGGTGGCAAGCACTGAAAAATATCTAAGTGTCTGAAGAGTACTACATCATCTACGCACACCCTGCCAATACACAGCAGGAAACACAGGAGGGCATGTGAACATCCTGAGAGAGTCTGGATGATCCAAACAGCTTTTTGGATCAAGTTGTACCATCACCAAGTATCCAGGCAATAATGGAATAAGAATCCTGCTCCGAAACTTGAGATGTTAAATACTGCAAGAAACAAACTCCAGACTAATAAAGGGCAAGGTGGCAGCACTCACCTGTTATGGAAATGAACAAGGCCACTCAGACATCGGACACCTAAGGTGGCACATATCATCTGGACCTGGTTGCTCAGCCAGCCTTTAACTCTAAAACAAATGAAGTCATAGATACATTTCTAGTTCTATGGAGCCACACATGCAATGTAAACTCTCTGAGTTATCCCAAATTGCTCTTACTACAAAGACCATACTAAGGTTCACACTGCATGTCTGCTTTCAGATGCCATTGCCATAACTTTCTCTCACAACACTCTATAATTTTACAGGAGAGAAAAAGTCACCCCATGATAGTCCACATCAATCCTCTGGACTTCAGCAGACTGTTCCAACTACTAGTTCAAATCCTTAAAGAAATACAGAAGAACTGAAAGAGCCCTCAGCAAATACCCACCTGCCATTTGGAAACTGTCCCACTACAGTAGTGGCCAATACCAGCAACAGGACGCTGAAAACAGACAAGCAGATGCTACAAAGTAAAACAATCTTAATTAAATGGCAAGAAGCAAAACTGGAGGAGTAAGCAAGAAGGTTTTCTTACTTGGCTCTTTAATCCACTTCACAATGCTTCCTTCCAGCATTTAATAGCATCTAACTAGCAACAAACTACTAGCTAACCAGCACACAAACCCCTTAATCCAGCTTTGCTGGATTTTAAAAGCAAAAGAATTACTAATAAAACATATGGAACACAAGAAATTCACTTTTTTTTTTAAGGGATATTTGAGTTTAGATGGCTTCTTGGAAAGGTCATGCCAGATTCTCCTTCCTCCACCAGCCAAGAGTATATTATTTCATACCTTCTGTAAAAAGTACCGTGAAATAGGATCCCAGCAAACCCTGTGTGGCTCACCGGAAAGGCAGCAGGAGGCAATACCGAATTAGGATGCCGGTGACCCACACAGCAGCCAGTTTCCAGCTGACATGATGCAGGTTGGCATTGGTTCTGCTGAGGAGATTCCAGGACAGCAGCTCCTCAGAGGAGAACCGTCGAGTGACTTCATCCTCCGCAACTGCCTCACAGCCCTTCTTGGAGAAGTACATGACATCAGCAAGGCTGAAACATCCTCGGCATCGGCCCACAACCTCCTTTTCCATGGGAGTCTCATCTCTCTGGATGATGCCTGCATGAGGAAATGAGCCTTCCTTCCACAAGGTGAAACGAACAACATGGATTCCAAAGAGAATATCAAGAAATACATATGCTTTTTAGAAACAGCTCTCCTACTCAAGCACAATAATGCATTGCTATGCCTCATTTATGTACTGACAGTTCATTCCACAAGTTACTTCTCTAATCCTATGCCATATATCGCCCCTAAGTTGCTGAGGAAGAAGAAAAGGATTCTGATCAAGCTGCAAATAAAACCTTGAGCACAGCGCCTACTTCATTATTATTTACCAAACAACATAGGCACTCAGACCTAGAAATGTCATATATACACTGCCAAGACAGCAGATCCCTCCTGGTGCCTTGACTCAAATTCAGGCAGAGTTTGTATGATTGTTCTTGCTGATGTTGATTAGCTTTATTGTTTCCCAGCTGTAAAAAACACTTTCCTCTGCATTTTTTTTCTTGGAACCTTCTATCTCCCCCCATCCCTTCTCTGCTTAGAGTCGCTTCCCTACCAAAAAACTTGAAAGTGCCTGAGTTTCTCCCCTCCCAGACATACAAAGCATTACATAGACACATTGTGCAGGAAGAATAACAACACATTCTTGCTCTGCTATTTGTAAAATCACACCCCACAGGACAGCAATGCAGCAAGTCTGCTGAGGTCACTCCGAGACCAGATTCTTATCTGGCTGGTTACAGTGACTAAAATTCTGTTGGTTCATACCAGCTAACACTTGGCTTTTTTGTTTGCCTCCCCCACCTCTTTTTTTTTTTTTTTCTTTTTGATGGGGTATATTGGATGACATTAAATATGCACTATAAAAATACATTAATTTATCTTGATTAACCTACCTCCCCCTGAACAGAATCACAAAGTTTTCTTCCATCTGCACTTCAGTAAAACCTTCAACTCCCAGGAAATCATCAGAACAGAAAATTATTAGCTGACAAACCAAGCAGCCTACATGACTAATCACTAAAAATGGCACTACAAGTAAAAAGCTAACTATGAGAACTTAACTCTTTGATCAAAGAAGGAGGGAAAAGTAGTTGGGGAAAAAATTATTTGGATTTTATCCTCACGTCTAGAAAAGAGTACAAATTCTATCTGTGATCCATGGGATGCTGTAACTCTTATTTGCGAGCTTGGATTTTTTAGGTGCTAGGAGTTACAAGAAGCAAAAGATAACTATGCAGAGCCATGTCAAGCACAAAGAACACTAATTTATCCCAATCCAGTAAAGAGAGAGCTGATGGAGCCCAAAAGCAAAAAACACTTATGAAAACAGGGATGCTTCCCAAATGCTTATCAGCAATGTCTTTCTTATCCACACTAGTCTCTAATTCCTTTTATTTACAAAACTCAGAGATTAGATATTTTATAATATGCTTATGTAGGTTTATAGCTTCAATGGATATTTGCTCATCAAACTCCTTTCTAAGTAAGATTGTTAAATAGCTGCCTTTTTACATGATAAATAGTGCTGTGGCCCCTTCATCCAGAGATCTTACCAGTGGAGATTAAATTTTCAAGTGCCATCGCCTTCTGCTTTTTTACTCCCTCCTCAATCTGCAGGGTGGCCCACTGTTCCCAAAACAAGAAAAGTAGATGATGATGGTTTGCATTTCATCATTTCCAGACATTCTGCAATTACCTCAGGTGAATTGTCTGAGCCTCTTTTACCCCTGCCAGGTCTAGGATTTTCATTTTTCAAACTCAGTCTGAAGGGTGCCCTGCAGGCCTCCTGTTTCATTTGTTACACAGACTACCTTCTGCCATTTCCAGGAAAAATTGTTTGGCTCAAACTTCTTTTCAGGACACAGGCAGTTGGTTTTTTTTCTTTTCTGTAGGTCCAACAAATTACTGAGCTACCTATGAGACTCTATAAGATCCAACATACCCAAAACTCTATCTTCTCTAGTTAGCTTCAGGCAATAAGATTATACAAAATAATATCACTGACATTAGAGGTATGCCAGAAAAATAGAACTGAAAATTTGATTTTAAAGAATAAAAGAGATGAATTCATTTTGAGGGCATTCAAGTGGTTTCTGTTGATGGAAAACAGAGCTGGCAACATTGTGTATCAATAGTATTTCAGAAGAGCAGCTGTGGTAACGAGCTTTCACCCTTCCCTGTATTCATTTTTTTGGGCTAAACCATTTCTTCTCCTTGCATAGAGCATCATAAAACTCTCCATTAGCAAAATCAAATATAAAATTATGCCTGATTTTTGAAGTTTTCCTAGTTTTGAATGTTTTCATCATACATACATAGACATATAAATAGTAGCTCCCATGAGTACTAAAATCTGGCTGTATTTCTGTCAAGGTACCTGCCCTAACAAAGGGCATAGGAGGCTTGAGTATAGGCTCTGCTCATTATTAAAGGCTCAGTGACCCACTCAGTTTATGCCTTCACCTGCTATTAAGGGTTCCCATCTACAATAGATAAGGATCCATCTGTTTCATATAAACTCTTGCTAAACAGTGTATTTCCCTCTAGCTATGTGCAGCCACGCAAGTCACCACAAGGCTGATCTCAAACAGTCTTCACTACATTACAACATGTCTCATGTGCAAACATCAACCAGCTTTTTGCCACCCTTAAGTTTTGCATGCTCTTTCTGTAGCTATCAAAGTTAAGTCAGTAACAAAATCAAAATGGACACTTTGCCTTTACATATCTAGGATATTTTAGTTACCTATAGCTGACCTTTTTTTTTTTTTTTACCAGCCATCATAAAAGAAAAGAAAAAAGTGAAGGCAGAATAGGCTTTAATGTAGTATTTTAAACTCCATACAAATCTTCTTTAGTAACACCATAAAGCAAACAACCTCCCCAAAAAAAACCTGCACCACAGAGCATCATCTTGTCTATACTTCCCAATTATTCTCCTGAAAAGGTCAACAGGTACATCATCCCTCAATCTTTTGCAACACAAGGAGAGTCATTCAGAATGGTGGAGCCAGGTGGAACCAGGGGATGTCATGAAAACAGCAGCCCACACACTGAGAAATGAAAGAACATACAGAACAGGTACAGGAACGTTGCAAAAGAGAGTAAGCAATGGCAAATTTACCCTCTTTACAAAATACTGCTGGTCCTCATCTCTTCCCAACATCCTTTAGGATAGTTCCATGGCATTAGGGAAGAAAAAATATAAAACATAAAATATTTGAGACTGACAAATAAAGCCTTCTGCCTTAGTCTGTGCTTTCCTGTTTCCTGTCTACCACCCTTATCTTGCCTATCATTGTCCTCCTACATAAAAACCACCTGTCAGCTGGCCAGGACTGCCAGAAATGAGCTTGCTCATACTGTCTTGAAGGATCTGGAATACCTCCAGGAGGCTGGCTTTTGATGCCCAGACAGAAAAAGGGTGACAGCCACTGACCAAGCTGGCTCCAAAAATACATGTTAACTAATCTAAATGAGCAAGACATGTCAAAACCCACAAAAATTTATAAAGCTCACCAGTAAATTATAAAATCTTGCCTCCTAGCACAGAGAAAGAGTGAGGCAAAAGTGGCAGACTTAAACTAAATAGTCAAGGCTACAAAGGCAGCGTCCCAGAAAGATGAAGAAGAGCTTTCAAAGGCTGAACAGTTACACAGGGCTCATTAGCTTGGGAAAGCTGGCTGAGATGACTGAGACAGGCATCTGCAAAGTCTGGACTGGCACGGAGCAGTTGCTTAAGGAGCACTTATCCATTTTCTCTTCTACTACAAGAACTGAAGCTTACCATGGGAAAGCTTTGGGCAGAGTATGTGAGCAAGAAAAAAGGCAATATATTTCCACAAGCCATCATGGGACATGAAATTCTCCTAACTCATGGCTTGGCATGGGAGACTGAAGAACAAGCAGCGAGGAGGGAATACAGCTGTAGAGTCACCCAGGCCTTAGGCTTTCAGTCCAGCCATTGAATTGACACCTGCCAAAGCCATCTGTCTGGGTCAAACTCTGGACTGACTGACTCTGCAGTGGCTACTGTGCTGTTCTGCCTTTGGTAGCATCCGTATGCAGAATTTGTTTTCCAAAATGAAGTAAGGCTTTGTGATCACCTTTGTATTGCACAGTATTGAGACAGAGCTGTCACGCTGGTCTCTGTTGCAAAACAGTAATGAAAGGATGTTTTAAATAGCTTACAAAAAACCCCACAGATGTTGCAACTAACACAGAATTTAAGTATTAAATGTAGCAACTTCATTCCTACACCTGCTGACTGAATGATAACTCTCATGTTGTGCTTTTCCTCACTCCCATTTCTGAAGTGATGAGGATACCAGAAGTCCAAACACCCAATGGTTGTTCCTACCTGAAATACTGAATACTTGACAGCTTAACTCCAACAGTGCAACAGTCATTTGTTTGAGCTTCCTGTAATTACATTCTAAATAAAATTAGGGTGCCTAATACTGGTTTATGTTAATTACTGTCTTCACAGGACATGACATGAAAGACAATGTGGAATGTTCATTTCCTGAAATCTCATATCTTGCACGATTTTTCCTCCTTTTTTGCTTTTGTATTGAGTACAGCTCAATACTCCATCTTTCCATACTAAGTAATAATTCAGTTTTGCCTCTCTTCCCATATTTTACTACCTCTTCTCCCATATTCTCACAAAAGGTTTTTCTAATCACTCATTACATGAACTTTTCTCAATCTTTTCCTCATGTGTGACAAAAGCTCAGGGGCAATTCCTCCATGTAAAGTCTTCCACTACAGTGTCAAAGAGAAGTTTGCTGGGTTTTCAGCATGAACTAAAATCACCATCTAAGATCAAGCACTTGTGACCTCTTCACTCAACAGTGGTTTCTGCCTGGCATTATTTCCCCTTGCCCATTACAAACATGAACACAGATCAAATAGTGTGAGTGTTACACTCAGTGTCTGAGATGATGTGACTGTCCACCCTCAGGCTGAGAAAAGGACTCACAAATCTCCTGGCTGCTCCATGGGGACTGATGAAATGGGTTGAGAAGGGGTTGTTTGGGATAAAAGCACTGATATAATTTGTTTGGGTTTTGATGGAGAGGCCAGCTAAGGATAGCCATGTATTTAAAAGCACAGCAGTGCAAGTTTTCACCAGCTGAAGTGTCAGCAACATCCGCCATGCTCCAGTAGGAGTTCACAGCATACGAGCTACCTCCATGTACAAGTGAGCTCTCAATGCAAAAACTACTCACAACTTTTAGATGGCTGATTTCTTTTTCTCATGAAGCAGCAATGCTCCAATTTCATACAGAAGTTCAGATCTTGTAGAACTCTAGAACATTTCTTGGCAAATAGAGCTACAGCTGTTACACGTGTTTCTTTGACTCTTCACAGGGCTCTGAGAGCATGGCATAGATTTCATCCTAGCAAATGCATCTTCTTTTGCAAACACTAGAGTAACATTCCTGGAACAGCTTTGCTAATATCCTCATTTCCAACAAACCCCAGGATGGACAAAGCTCAGAGAAAAGATATTATTTACAAATAAAAGTTTACAAGCATATGTGAAAGAATAACCCTAATGACACGCAAACCAAGTTCACCTTTATAATTTCTATAAATACTTGAAGGATAATTTAAGGGTAATAATAAGAAGAATTATGGGCTAATATATATGCAATTGAGAAATTACTGTATTGGAGGTCTTTTGCAGTTATATTGTCCATATATCCTAAAAAAAAAAAACCAAAACCCAACAAAATCCAAACAAAAACCCAAACACAAAAAGCACCTGCAAACAAAAACAGTCACCCCAAATTTTCAAACCTTGAATCTTGCTTTTATAAAATGATTTATTTTCTTTCTAAAATAACAAGTATCTAGATTCCTTGATGGAAAAGCAGCAGAAGGTAAAAATTATTTCCATGCATGATTACATTTTCCCCATTTATTCCAAGCACCACTCATAGTGCTATAACACTTCAGTGAAGTCAACAAATCAAAGCTACTTATCTCATCACATGCCACCATTACTCATTGCTTAGTGATAGATCTGAACATTTGAGTTTTATTCTGAAACACCTTTTTTGCTCCCAACAAATTAAGTAAGGTCTAAAGATACATTTTCTTTGAAAACAAAATTTTAATTTTTTTTTTTTTACTTTGAAGTCCTTGATTTCAGTCTCCACTCTTCTATTTTTCTCAAGTTGCCAAACATGGAGGAAAATAAAACATGCTTTTCCTCTGCTCAGCTGTAAGAAACAGATATAAAGAAACTCCTCAGGCGAGAAGGTTTCTATTGATTTTGCTGGTCTACATAACAGACTAAGTCAAATGCAACACAATGGAGTGACCAACCATAGTGCTCAAGGTTGGATTTTTGCTGCAGCATCACCCAGTTCTTTGGCACTCCCTCGAGCAGTGATATTCCTGCAATATAGACAGCAGTGTGCTAATACATGACTAAGCATCTTCAGCATTTCCAGCTCAGCTCTCTGGGAAGGCATCCTGTTGCACCATTCCAGAGGACAACAGGAACCACAGATGGTCTCTGTGCATTATCCCATTAGCAATATTGCAGGAACACAACACCACATCTAGAAACCAGCCAAGACCTCTCCAGGGTTTCAATGTCAGGTTTTTCTTATCTCAAACAAGCCTGTCTCAAAGCTGACTTCTCCCAAGCTGCAATTTTAGCTGTATTCTGGTGAAAAAGCCCCAGGACTTCAAGAATAGGCTCAGCAGTTCCATGCACAAGCTTTAACCCAGAGTTTTCCAGTCCTACCCTTTCTTCCTAAGAGCCTAGTGGGCCACATTACAAGCAAAGGAGACCTAACACCCCCTCCATTCTTTTTCCCTCCCATTTTCCACCAAGATAGCTCTTAACTACTTTTGTGGCACAATGAGAAGCATTTGACAATACTTCAAAGAAAACCACTGGAATTAATTGTAAGATGAAAACAGCAGAAACTCCTTTTTTTTTGCCCACAGGACAATTAGGGAACAACTTTGAACAAAAGAACAAAATGAGCCAGCCTAAATAGCAGCGCATGGAGTTTTGCTGTTCCTGTTATTAGCTGCTGTGGCAACAGGGAACAAGACACAAAAGGCTGTAGCTGATCACATAACAATTAACTTATTTATTTTTCAGTACATTGATCCTCCACATTGTGAGCACAGAATTATCACTAATAACCTGTTACAAGAACTGTGGAGAGAAAAATACTTCAAGTGCTTTACCAAAGAGAAGTACCTTCCTACATAAAACACACACTGAGTGGGTCAAACATCTCTTGGAGTTGGGAAATGCACAGGGAAAAAAGAAATCCAGAAATTATTTTGATGCCCACCAACTGCAGCAGCGAAGTTGTCTAAAGACAGGTTTGATATTAGAGAAGCTCTTAATTAGGGATTTAATTAGCGTACTACTGTCTGATTAAAAAATATTTCACATATAAAGGCCAATATTACATACATCCACCACAGGCAGTCACTGCCCACTGACATCAGCATCTGAAAAAAATAACTAACCCCTAAATTTTGCAGTCATCTGCACTTATGCTAAATGATGTTCATACAGCTGAAGACAGACACTGCTCAAGAGCTCCTAATCAGTATTAAAACAAACAAACAACCCCCCCAAACAACAACAAACAAAAGAGAACATAAGAAGGATAAGACAGAACTGGCAAAGTAAGATGGTCATGATATTAACTGTATCACAC